TGCATTTAACCTATTTACATTCAGTGTGATTATTGATAAGTAGGAATTTACTGTTCTCATTTTGTTGGGCTTTTTTTTGTGGTGTTGATGGTTTCTTTGTTCTGTTTACTTTTCTGTACCGTTGACTGTTGCTGATTTTGTGTTTACTGAGTCTTTTTGGTTTTCTTATTTTGATGAGTAAGTTTATTAATTTTCTTTGTGATTACCCTGAAATTTACCCTTTATCTTCCTAAATTTACAACAGTCTCTTGTATATTGATATCACCTTGACTTCCTCTCCATATAGAAGTTTGTAGCTACACCATTTATTCCCCCTTTTTACTTTGAATTTATCATCATTTATAGATTGACTTCTCTGGTTCCTTGTTTTCAGTCTTGTAGCTTTATTTTGAGAATTCTTTGTCTTGGTTGGTGTCTGGATGATGATATCATGTGTCTTAAACTCAGGTTGTTGTCTGATGTCATTTCTCTGCCTGAAGGACTCCCCTTTAATATTTCTTGTAAGATTGGTCTGTTTTTTACAAATTCCTTAATTTCTGTTTATCTGGAAATGTCTTAAAGTTTCACCATCATATTTGAGAGACAGTTTTGCTGGATATATGTCATCCCACTGCCTTCTTGCCAACATGGTTTCTGCTGAGAAATCAGAGCTTAGTCTTACTGGTTCCCCTTTGCAGGTGAAAATTCATTTTTCCTGAGCTGCTCTCAGGACTCTTTATCTTTGGTTTTGGAAAATTTGATTATGCTGTGTCTTGGTGACTTTCTTTTGGGGTCTATCCTGTATGAGGTTCATTGAGCTTCTTGGATGGACATCTACTCTTCTTTCATGATGTTAGCGAAGTTTTCTGCCAGCAAATCTTCAAAAATTTTCTCTGTGCTGTTTTTTTGGTCTCCTCCTGTTCTGGAATTCCTATCACACATAAATTAGTCCTCTTGATAGTGTCCCACATAACTCTTGGGCTTTCTTCTTCTTTTTTCTGAACGTTCCTCAAACAAATTAATATCAAGGGATTTGTCCTCTATTTTGCTGATTCTGTCTTCCATTGATTCAATTCTACACGTATGTCTTTCCATTGAGTCATCTGTTTCTGAGATTTTATTGTTGGTCTGGATTTCTTTTTTTGTATGGTTTCTAATTATCTATTTATTTTGCCATTTTGTTCTTGTATTGTTTTCCTAACTCTTCTAGAGTTTTGTCTGTGTTTTTCTTGATCTCTTTCTTGATCTATTGGAGGATCCTTTATATAAGTCTTCTGAATTCCTTATTTGGTAGTTCCATTACCATTTCTTCCTCAGGAAGGTTTTCCTTTATTTTGGTCACTTGGTTGAGCCATCTCTTCCTGCTTCCTTATGTGATTTGATATTGTCTGGTGTCTCCAAGGTATTAAGGTGTTATTATATTTACTTATTGTATGTTTGCTTAGTCCTGGTTTCTTGTTTTACTTGTATGTTCCCAGGCAGGCCAGGCAGGCGTGCTACTCTGGTCACTAGTCTGGCAGCACTAGGGTGCTCACCACCTGTTTCTGGGTGGGTGGGGCAGTGGCTTAGAGTATGAGCGCAGGTCTCTACTTGCTGGTCATGGGGGCAGTTTAGGGTGGGCTCTGTGGGTGTTGGCTGTGATTTGTCATCGATCCAGTGTGCAGGAGTGGGTGTTGGTACTCAACAAATGGATGGTGGGGCAGGTGTGGTGGGTATGGCAGGCGAGTGGGGGGGGCGCGGTCATCACTGCTTTTTGGGTGAGGGGGAAGTGTGTGGCAGACATGTGTGCGTGCATTTGTGCAGTCCCCGCTGCTTACCAAGTTTGAGGGGGTGGGTGGCAGGGGGGTGCAGTCATTTGGTCACTGCTGCTCTCTGGGGCAGGGGTGGGGAGTGGGTGGTAGGCAGGCGCTGTTCGGTCGCCACCACTTGCCAGTTCAGCGGGAGGGATTGGGTGGTGGGTGGGCATGGTCACACAGTTGCCATGACCCACTGACTCGGAGGAGTGGGTGGCAAGTGAGTATGCAGGAATGCGCTTACTACCGCTTTTCAGGTGGGTGAGGGGTGGTGGACAGGGCTGGGTTGGGAGGAAAGGGGGGTTTGTATTATTGTCTCTAGTTGGACGGGGTGGCCAGGGTATGGGATCCTCTGCCCCTTGATCAGTAGGTTGGGGGGAGGGGGAGTGTACCCCTTCAGCTAGCACACATGGGTACCCAGGCACTGCTCGTCTGCTGCAGCCAGTATTCGAGACCTGCCCCCAACCAAGTGCAAAGAGGGATGGGGCACCTGGGTTCCGGGTGAGTAGGGGACCTCCTGCTGATACTCCCCTCTTCCACTGCCTCATGCATGTCACCCACCCTGGAGGTCAGAGACTACCGCTTGTGTGTATATCTGACTCTGGATCCTGGCTCACTCCCTGCTCTGTGGACAGCAGGATCCCTGGAATTCTCACCCTCCTTTCTGTGTTTTCCTTCCTTGGATTTGAATCATGATCCACTCAGCTCGTTTCTCTCCAGGTGTATTTTTATAGTTTCTCTGTCGTAAATGAGCATGCTGTGAAGTTGCCTTCCTGGGTTCCTCACCTGAAGTCGCTGCTGGCTTTGTCTCAAGATGGCCATGTTGAGCCAGGATGGCTGACATCACTCCTCTGCTCCATTCCACTCCTCTTTTGCAGCATTCATTCAGTTTTTTTCTTCCAGTCAGTGTTCAATTCTTTATCCTCCCTTTTTGATCTTCAGGGTTCCAGGATTATTATCTGCATCAGTTTCACTTGGTTTTTCGGGTCATTACTGTAGAGGGACAGAATGGTGTGTTTGACTAGTCTGCCATCTTGGCTCCTCCCCTCCATATGAATTTTTTTTTTTTAAGTGATTTTTGGCATCTGCGTTGGTAAAGAGAAGAGCTAACAGGCAAATCACAATTCACAGAGAAGAGAGGAAGGATCATAGGTTCAATTCTTCGCTTTCATCACATCACATTATCTTCAATACAAATTTTCTAACTCTTCCCTTTGCTAAGTATGTCTTCAGGGTGACATTTGGTTAGTACGCTCATATCGTTGTGACTGACTGTGGGAATTTATGATAAAAACATAAATTATCTTTTAAGAATCACCTTATTATGTTGGTTCCCTTTTATCTTGGAGAATTTATAATTTAAGGTATTTTTCAAGGTAAGGTTCACTTATTAATGTCCTGTCCATCACAATGGGAAGAATCTTAGGTGACTGATAACTGTTATAAATGGACACCCTCTAAGGAGAATTTAATGCTTTTACCAACATGGCAAAATGCAAGAGTCGGGCAGTAGAGAAAAAATGTCTCATTTACTGAGCAGAAAACTTAGCTTAAGTGTTAAGGCCTTGTGCTGTTTTTCAGTGAAATGTAATCTTAGGAATCACTACTTGCAGTCATGAAAAGCTCTAATTTTTCCCAGAACAACTGAACACCTGTAGTTTTCCTATCTTATCGAAATGGTTCAGTATTCCACGGGGAGAGGAGGGCAATAATTTGTTATTTTTTTCTTCAGAGGAACTTTCTAACACATCCAGTCCACCACTGACTTCTCAGATTTGTTATTTGGGTGTCTTCTAAAGGCTCAGGATGAATTTTTTCCTTCTTTGTGGTGAATTCTAGGCATGATGTGAACGGGTGTCCAAAATGATGCTTCCTTTTCCTCTGAGCAGTAGTTGCCTATATTTTAGTCACTTCAGGCTGAATTCATCTGGCCCCCTATTGAGTGCTATATCCAAACATGTCCAGGTAAGCACCATGCTGGAAGTTTCTAAATATCCTGGAGGCTTCCCCAACTGTTACATAATTCAAAAGTGGCTCCTACCCTGGACAGACCTCCTTGAAAGAAAACATTGACTACCGAAGGACTCAACACAGTTTGGTCTTCAAAGTGGAGTTTTGTACATTCCTAAGCTGGTAGTAAATTCTGGCTTAACATACTAGTCAGGTTTTGCTAATAAAGCAAAATTGGAATATGACTGGAAGTGAAACAAAATCTTCCTGTGTATTATTATTACTCCTGTCCTAACACTTATACCTGGGGAAACTTAACATTGTAAAAACTATTCCTGTAAGGCAGCAGCTTATTGTCTCCAGTTTTCCTACATGATTTGCTAACCCTCTGTTTATTAAAGCCATTATTTATCACTCAAATACATACAGACTTTACTATAGTTTTAAGTCTTCTTGTTCTGGAACAATTATGTATCCTTCTGGCTAATACATAAGAGGGTAACTGTCAGAAATTTACTGTTGGAAACATGGATAGGAAAAATTGCTTTTTGAAAGCATTTGTGATACTGTATTCATCTGAGAAGGAACAGATTGAAGGACTAGTAGGTAATTGTTGGTTAAAAAAAAAAACCCAGCTGCTGTCAAGTTGACTCCAGTAGAACTGTTCATCATAGGGTTTTCGGTGGCTGATTTTTTCAGAAGTAGATCCCCAGGACCTTCTTCTGAGGTGCCTCTAGGTGAACTCGAACCTCCAACCTTTCAGTTAGCAGCCAGGCGAGTTAACTGTTTGTACCACTCACGGATTCCTTTGTTGGTCAAACCAGTAGTCAGATGATTTAAATCAGACCCTGTGAGTGTGTGTGCACGTGTGTGCGCGCACAGGTGTGTTTATTAGAGAAAATGTATTTCAATTTGAGGACTGGAAAATTGGATGTTTAATTTTATTTTGATTTTAAAAGTAGAAGAGTTCTTTCATTCTTGACTCTTTTATACCACAAAATGACTTAACCTAATTTGCTGTGCCTCTTTTTGTTGAGGCACAGGGAAACACCCTAAAATCTAGGATACTTTCCAAATTATGTCATTTTTAGAGGTTTTGCTTTTTATAAAAAATAGAAGTAGAAATCATTTGACCTTAATTGTGTAAAGAAACAAAAACCCACTGCTGTCGAGTTGATTCTGACTATAGCGACTCTATAGGACAGAGTAGAACTGCCCCATAGGGTTTCCGAGGCTGTAAATCTTTACAGAAGCAGACTGCCACATCTTTCTCCTGTGGAGCGGCTGGCAAGTTCGAATCGCTGACCTTTCGGTTAGTAACTGAGTGTTTAACCCACTGTGCCACCAGGGCTCCTACTTTATTGCTATAGATTTTTTAATGTGTTTGTGATGTGACAGTAGGGATTTGTATGTAGATAGTAATGATTAATTTTATCATCTATATTTAGAATTAAATATTATTGAGACTAGTTAATGAGTTGCTCTCCTCTAATGCTGATATCTGAGATCCTGTGGTACCTTATTATTCCTTTCTGAATTACATAGTGTATTTTCTCCATTGTTTTTGAGTTTCACCTGTAGTCATAACTCTAATTTAAAGGTTTTCTATTGTAAATATTTGATTTTACTAAATATAAAATTATTTTTGTGTAAGATAAAAGATACAGAGTCCTATTTTCTTTCATCTTAGAATGCACAGGAGAATAATTAGGCAAGGAATGGGTAAACAGGGCTTCTTTTTCCTTTCCGTTTCATTTTGTTACTGCTAAATACTCCAATGAACTCGACATCAAAATCTAATCCAAGGTCTGCCACAGACTTATCAGTTTATTTTAGTTACTATAAAAGAGTCTTTAAAAGTTCTTATACTCAGAACCCATTTTGCTTCTCTTGCTGAAATAGTCACTAAATAGCTAGTTAATTAGAGTTTGTTTTTACTCCCAGAATTTGATTTTATGTTGGGACAGTCAGGAAGAATTGAAATTTTGATTGTAGTCCCTTATTTTCTTCTATGGTGAAATAGAGCTCATTTAACACCTAGTAAGTATATGTGTTAGGAAAACTTCTTGGTAGAGAAGAATTATGTTTAAATGTAGATAAAAAATGTCAAAATTCTTCAATTATGAACAAAGGCTAATGAGGGAGAACTTGTGTATCCAACTGGAATTAAAAACATTCAGACATTGACAAGGAGGGCTGGACTCGAACAGTTTCCTGAATACAGCCTAAGTGAGGCAAAGAGGCAGTGGGCAAAAGAGAACTTTGTCTGGCACAGAGATCCCCAAAGAATCTTTGTCCCCTCCCCCAGCCCCCTACAGAATGTTTGATTAACGGATATCAGGAGCAGGGGGGGTTGGGACTGAGGATAAAGGAAAACTGATTAGAGTTATACCGCTGCCTGAATCACTACAGGCCTTCTACTTGATGATATATCCCTCTGTGAGGGTAAAAGGAACTTAGCTACGGAGCAGTAAAGCAGTTGATTTATTTAGAAGGAAGTCATATACCAGGGAAACTACCAGAAGGCCAGAAGAGAGAGAGAAAGACAAGTAGAAAGAGACACAGCCCAGCGACTCACAGCTGGATGGCAGATGTCCATAAAGCAGCCAGCATACATCTGAGGCTACCACCTGAGTCTCTTGAGGGTCGGTGTGCCAGGGAGAGCTGCTGATGGACACAGGCCCTGTATCATCAACTGATTCGTTTGGACAATGTCAGTGGCACCCTCAGTGAGAGACTCTGCCTCTGTTCTGCCTTCTCTACGGAAAAAGAGAGTGGCCTTGGAAGAGGGTGAGATAAAGTTTCAGATTTGGGCTCCTCAGACGAGGGACCTGAGACTGGGGCTAGTGCCAGGATCTTCATGTGTCAGGTTGAGCATCGTGTTGCTGTTGCTGATTTTTCTGCCCAGCATGTACTGTGACCAGGGATCAGTGTATTACTCTTTCTATGAAATAATTATGCCTAAGAAGCTGACATTTCAGGAAAGGGAAGACCCAGTGGAAAAGGCATCCTACATGCTATATATGCAGGGCCAGAAACAGGTGATTCACTTGAAGGTGAAGAAAGACTATTTTGTGAGCAGCTTTCCGGTCTTCAGCTACCACAATGGGATCCTGGAACAAGAAATGCCCTTCATCTCACATGACTGCCACTATGAAGGCTACATAGAAGGAGTCCCAGGCTCTTTTGTTTCTGTCAACACATGTTCAGGCCTCAAGGGCATCCTGATTAAGGAGGAACAATCCTATGGCATTGAGCCCATGGAGTCTTCAAAACGGTTTGAACACGTGCTGTACACCATGGCACACCAAGCTCCAGTCTCCTGTAGTGTCACCTCCAATAAGAGTCAACAAGGGGTGTCCACCAGCCGGCAACAAGGGAGCAGGAAGCTTCGTGATCTACACGCACCGTCCTACTTGTGGTCACACACCAAGTACGTGGAGATGTTTGTTGTGGTGAACCACCTGCGGTTCCAAATGTGGGGCAGTAACATCAATGAGACAATCCAGGGAGTGATGGACATCATTGCTCTGGCCAACAGCTTCACTAGAGGAATAAACACAGAGGTGGTGCTGGCTGGAATGGAGATTTGGACCGAGGGGGACCTAATAGAGGTCCCGGTGGACTTGCAAGTTACGCTCAGGAATTTCAACAGCTGGAGACAGCAGAAGCTCTTCAGTCGGGTGAAGCATGATGTTGCCCACATGATTGTTGGGCATCATCCCGGACAGAACATGGGACAGGCATTTCTCAGTGGTGCCTGTTCAAGTGGTTTTGCAGCAGCTGTTGAATCCTTCCATCACGAAGATGTCCTCCTGTTTGCCGCACTCATGGTCCATGAGCTGGGGCACAACTTGGGTATTCAGCACGACCATTCCGCCTGCATTTGTAAAGATAAGTACTTTTGCCTCATGCATGAAAATATCACCAAAGTAGGTGGCTTCAGCAACTGTAGCTCTGACTCCTTCTACCAGTTTCTGCATGAACACAAAGGGGCGTGTCTGTTTAACAAGCCAGGGCACAAAGGTCGCACACGTAGGGATGCCATCTGTGGAAATGGTGTGGTGGACGGCCAGGAGGAGTGTGACTGTGGTCCTATCTGTGATAGGCACCCATGTTGTGACCCAACATGTAAACTGAAGAAATACGCACAGTGCAGTCAAGGACTCTGCTGCTTTGAGTGCCAACTGAGAGGGAAGGGATACATGTGCCGTCCCGCTGGGGATGAGTGTGACCTCCCAGAGTATTGCGAGGGTACCTCTGAAGAATGCCCTGTAAACACCTATAAGCAAGATGGCACACCTTGTGAAAGAATTAACTACTGCTATATGGGCCAGTGTAGGAACCCTGATAAGCAGTGCATACGAATTTATGGGCCCCATGCAAGGTCTGCCTCAGAAGACTGTTACCAATCAATGAACAGCAAAGGAGACCGGTTTGGAAACTGTGGCCGTCCCTCTGAGAATGACCCAGTTTATGTTAAGTGTATAGATGATGATATATTCTGTGGGAAACTTATATGTACAGATGTTGCATACTTACCAAGAATCAAACCCAACCATACGCTCATCCAGGTCCCTTACACAGATGACTGGTGCTGGAGCATGGATGCCTATAATGGTGCTGACATCCCTGATGATGGAGACGTGCAGACTGGCACGTATTGTGCCCCAAACAAAGTCTGTATGAATTACTCCTGCGTTGATCACGCTGTGTTCAACTATGACTGCAAACCAGCTGAAATGTGTAATGGGAAAGGAGTGTGCAACAATTTAAGGCACTGCCATTGTGAGCCTGGCTTTGCTCCTCCTGATTGCAGAGCACCAGGGGATGGGGGTAGTGTGGATAGTGGTCCTGGTTTCTTTCTCTATGATACAAATCCAAGTGAAGGTGGCCTTCGTGTTAAAAGCAATGAGGACAATGCTGGCAAAGTAGTGTTCATACTCCCTGTATTTCTTGTAGGATTATTGTTTGGACTAGTTATCTTCACTAGCTTCAGCATTAGAAAGAAACCACCAGAGGCTACACCAGAGCCACCATCAGAAGAATCACTGGAGGGCCCACCAGAGGCTCCATCGGAAGAACCACCAGAGGCCCCACTGGGAGAACCACCAGAGGCCCCAGCAGAGGAGCCACCAGAGGAACCACATGAGATGCCAGAAGAGCCTGCACCAGAAGGTGAAGCAGGTGAACCTTTGGAAGAACCAGAAACAGAATACCAGTAGTGGGAGGAAGAAGCCAATGTGTCAGACACCTAATGCACTGAATGGAATTGAGGGGCTCAACAAAGCAAAGATTAAGTCTTAATTGATGGTTGGCTCCATTGGCTCTGATGGGGACTATATAGTCCGTACAATATACTAATATGTGAGGAGGGTTTCTCCCCACTTTAAATATTCATTTTAGTAATTTGGTTATACAGTCATATGTAAAATCATATATAAAAGGATACTCTATTTTTTTTCCCTTTTTCCCATTTCATGAAACAATTTTATTTATTCTCTTCTCATTTATCACTGTTATCAATGTCTTATTTCAATAGGGCCAATTTTTGGGTCACCTGTTTTTCAAAAAATGCCATCTCCAGTATACACTTTTTGACTTATAGTACTATCTGTGACTGCATTTATACCTACAATGGGATTATTCATCCCAGTCACAACTATGCATTATGTTAGGAACATTTATAATATGATTGATTGTTTTAATTTGCCCTGTCAATTTGTATTCATGAAACAGAGGTGTTTTTCAATAAATTAAAGTCTATTTTCATGTAAGGTCTCCTTTATTTTCGGAACCTGGAAGAGGTCAGATCTGATCACTCCTGGGTTGGGTGCATGAGAAGAGGAGACAACCCAGACATTCTCAAAAGGCCCCTTCTGCAGTGCTGAGTTCATGTCTGAAGTATTCATTTTTTTCCTTTCTCTTTTTCAGTTTGGTTCTTAATTTATCTGCTGAAGGTGATATTTTCTGTACTGACAATGGAAAGGAACATCTCCAAATATAGATGACAGCTTGGAGGTGTTAGTTATTTCTCTGAAGAGAGGAAGAAAGAAGTATCACAATAACATCACTCCCCAGTATTTCCAGGCCCTTCCTACGGCTATATTCTCTTTTTAGCTAAGAGATTTTTTTCTTTTTTTCTAGTGCAGTTTTCATACTCTTCCTCTATACTAATGTTCTTGGGATACATTTCAAAACCTCAGATATCCCATGTCACCTGCTGGTAGCACTAAGCCATTCAAGTACCTCTCTTAACTGCTTGCAAACCTCTTACAGTTAGGAACCTGTATTTATACTTATTGTATAACAGTACAGAGGCACCTACCACAGTGCTGAGTACATATATGAAATTAATATTTTCTCTGCTATTTATTGTAATTAGTAACTTATTGATTTACAATCAGAAGGAATCTTAACTTTTCAGGTGTAAATTACTTCTTTCGAGGACAGCACAAAGGAAGTATACTACTAACATTACTCATTCTGTGCCACACAATGCGCTAAACACTTCACACGCATTGTCTTAATTTATTCCTCCAAGCCACCCTATCAGACCTCCATCTAGTACATGAGGAAACAGAAGCCAACAAGATGATAAAAGTAGTCTAGAGCTAGTAAGAGGTGGAACCTGGGTGCCTCCCCAGGTATGACTGAATCTACATTCCCCACTGCCTCCATGAGCCTTTTACTTGAGTAAAAGAAGTGAGGGGGAAGACACTCAGTATGTTCCCAGTTGCCCAGAACGTAGCTTTTCCTCAGTGGTTCTAATGAAGGAAAGACTTACAAATGGATGCTGAGCTCTATTGTGAACCTACGACGTTGTATAGTCCATGTCCATTCAAGTGCCTTTTCTGTGATTAGATCCCTGACATCACAGAGAGGCAGGTTTGCATTTTATTAAGCTCTGTGGGCCCAGCACATTATAGGTGCTTAATAAATGTTTACCAAGTGAATGATTTAAACACCAAAAAAAATCAAACCCTTTTTGCCATCGCATCAACTCTGACACATGGCGACCCCATGTGTTACAGAGTAGAACTGAGCTCCACAGAGTTTTCCTGGCCATAATCTTCATGGAAGCAGATCACTAGGACTTTCTTCCGTGGCACCGCTGGGTAGGTTTGAACTGCCAACCTTTTCATTAGTAGCCAGCCGTAAATCGTTTACGCCACCAAGGGACTTTAACCATAGCCAACCTTAAAACATGGGACTAGATTTCTCCCCGGGCAGGCTGCTACTTGCCAGTCCCTAGCCATGCAGCAACCAAACTCTTGCTCATTCATAGTATTGCTACAGGTTGAGTGAACGTCCTGAGTGATTGCTCCTGAGCATCCGTCTATGAAGATACATTTGCTGAGCACCTCTTCTATTGCCCATCCTATGCCAGCAGAAAAGTGCAGACACAAGAAGGATAAGACCTGGTTTCTGCTTTCATGGAGTTTATGTTAATTACTTCTGATGGAACAAAACTAAAACTTAAGAATGAAATCCAAAATCAATGTTCAGTTCTCCAAAGGCATGACTGTAAGTACAAGTAGGAAAACCAGGTCATGAAGATCTGCTAGTCATTTTCTAGTAATCAAATCCCAGAATGTTTTATGTCAAAAGATCAAAATGATCAAAAGAACAAAATTTATAGTCAGTAATCATGTTACCAGTTGGGAGTCACCTGAGAGTTTTGAGAACAAGGGTGAAACTAGGTAACTGAAGGCCAACAAATGTAAACTTGTCATTAGAGACTTCTGAAAAAGAAGTACAAGATTTCTGCTGAGAAGCACCCCGGGGGAGAACTGGGATTTACAGAAAGGTTCATCTTCCTTACTGGGCATGCTGACGGCGACTACAGTAAATGGTAGTAAGCATCACATATTTAAAATAACTAATCAAAGATAAAGGAATCGATTTATGTACAATGTAATTATGCTTAGTTAATTTAATGGAAGAGTCCCTACTGGTGCTAACAGCATGCTCAGCTGCTAATCAATAGGCTGTAAGTTCAAGACTAGCCAGAATCACCTTGAAGAAAGGCCTAGTGATCTACTTATGCAAAATCAGTCATTGAGAATCCTATGGAGCACAGTTCTACTCTGACACAGAGGGGAGGGTCACCATGAATTGGAGACAACTGGACAGTAATTGGTTAACTGGTTTAATTTAATGGAAATCTTTAAAGACAAAAAGGCAGGTAGATAATCAATCAATCAATAGATCCTAATTGTTGTTGTTAGTTGCCATCAAGTCAAGAATGACTCACAACCCCATGTGTGCAGAGTAGAACTACTCCATAGGGTTTTCAAGGCTGTGACCTTTCAAAAGAAGATCACCAGGCCTGTCTTTCGAGGCATCTCTCTGACTATGTTTGAATCGCCAACCTTTTGGCTAGTAATTGAGCACTTAATCATCTGAGCCACCAGGGATCCTGGAACCTACTAGGATTTCATAATATTCAACAAAAAAAAGTCATCAGAAATTATGAAAATAAGGAAGTTGTAGAGTTTTGTTTTTTTTTGCTATCCTTAAAACTGACTTGATCCTTAGGGTCCCAAGACCAGGTTTAGACCACAAAGATTAGGACAGCTCTTTGCATGGACTTCTGCAAAATGGTGATAGAAAATTGCACATATTCATAAACTGTCAAGTGAATTTTAAAATGTGTAGAAACCAAAGAGTGAATGGTTTAGTTAAGGCCATTAGGACAGACTACGGCAGGGGAGTGACCAGTTTTGGTGTGGGCAGGAGTGAGCAAGCAGGTGTAACTCCGTCTGAACTTCAAGAGTCAACAAATTCAAGGGTCAACAATCCCCATAAAAGCACAGGTGACAGTAGTCTGTTCTGCATTATGTGTGACTGCTTCTAAGGAGACTGCCCTTTTGCCCGAAGGATTCTGAGGAATGCTTACAAGGCCCACTAGCCTATGTTGGTAGTCACTCGTGACCTAGTCAGCTGCCGCCACAGGAGACTCTGACCATGACTCCATGCCATCCTTTACATGTCGTCTCAGGGTTGCTTTGTTCTCTCTGGGCTGCGTCACACCAAGAGACAACATAACCCTTCCCCTAGTTCCCCAAATCACAGTCAAATCCAGCCTCTAGAGTTTTTATCCAGACTTAGAGGAAACAAAGGGAAATTATAATGTGGAGAAGAAAACACATTTTCATGCTGCAGATATTAATGTTCCTAGAATCCACTGGTCATGGGAGACTGGATAGGCCTCTGTCTCCTTCACCGTGACCTGACATCCTTTCTTCTCCCCACAGGAGTCTTTTTTGGAATGTTCTCATAACCTCGAGTTAGGCTCTACTCCCTTCTCTGAGGCCCAGTGGAAGGAAGGAGAAAAAAAGAATTTACTGAAAAGTCACATTCTGCCAACAATGAAGACAAAGGGATATACTAGAGTAAAAATAATAATAATTGTTTCTTACATCTCCAAACTTCATTCCTGAAGAGAATGTTGGCTTGTTTTTGAGGCCAAAAGTCTTACTGAAACTATTTCAAAAGGGAAAAAAAAGAGCAGTCTTTCTCCATCAATGAATTTGCAAAATGCTGAACAACTATTAAAAAAAGCTTCCACCCTGCTTCTAGACATTAACCTTTCACGATTTTTGAGGTCCTCCTTCTTCAGACTCTGTTATATATATATATATCATGGCTTCTGATGGTTACTCTCCAGTGAGGAGATAGATCTTCCATAACCACTTCCCCATAACTATGCGGGACCTGTCACCTTATGCCACGTGTTAGGGAAAAGCTATCTACTTGCAGAGGCTTCTGGGGAGAGTAGCAGCCTAAATACTTTGACCTTGAACCCCACCTATGAGCTAGATCATGGGTCTTTGAAACCTGTAACATAATTATAGAAATTTCAAAGCCTCAGCTGATTGTGTTTAATTAGAAGCGGAGGTAGAATTTGCTTTTATTTGTGGGAGAAGCTTTTAGTGAGTGAGATGGCTAAGACTGTGTGTCAACTTGGCTGGGCCATGGTTCTCAGTGGTTTGGCAGTTATATGTTGTGATCACTTCCATGCTGAGATTTGATATAACGTGATTACTCCCATGATGGGATCTGCCAGGAGTAGCTAATCAGTTCAAAAGGAGTTTTCCTGGGCGTGTGGCCTGCATCGAATATACGTGGACATTCTGGCAAGACTCATGGGCTTTTATTCGCTCTGGATCCTGCAGCTGGCTCCTGTATGTCTGAACTCCAGTTGTTGGGATCTGAGCTAGCAGCTTACTTGCGGTCTTGCCTGCCGATCTCGGGAGTCATGTGTCTTCACAGCCTTGTGAGCAACAGCCCTGCTCTCTGACCTGCCAATCTTGGGTTCACCAGCCCGTGACTAGGTGAATCAGGAGAAGCCTCCAGCCTGACCCATGGACTTGGGATGTTCCAGTCTCTACAACCCCGTAAGCCATTTCCTTGAGATAAATCTCTTTCTATATATATTTATATACTTTACTGGTTTTACTTATCTAGAGAACCCAACCTAAGACAGTGAGCCTTTGTCATGCAAAGGTAAACCCAAGTCCTATTCTGCACCAGAGCAGTTGAGACAGCATTTACACAACTCAACTAACAATGTACACCAGCTGTCTTCAGTGTAGGTAAAATAACATCTCTGTTGAGGTCACTGTGATACTGATCCCTGAGAAGGAAGGATTCTGGTGAGAGAAAAGTTGGGAGGTGGGGCTTTGTGAAAGGGGATCCAGGTAAAAGACTGAGGTACAAGAGAGCTAGAAGGGTAACCCCTCTGGAGAGCTACGGCCTAAAGAGTCTTGAAGTCTTGATGTCAAGCATCCCTTATTTCCTGTTTCCTGAGTTGTGATCCCTGCCATT